TGTATTTGATATTATATTAATTCAATAAAAAATCAATATTTGATAAGGAATCAAAAATATTTTAAAAAAACACTTTAAATTTTTTACTAAATATATTATTTTTTTAGCTTCATTTTTTATGATTACAGTGTTTTTTTACAACATTTTTGATTTCTTATCAAATATTGATTATTTAATCAATTCATTTTTTTAAATAAAATTTGGTGAGAATTTATAAATTTTTTTTTAATGACTGAATAACTAAATGGTGGGAGGAGGGTAGGCTGCAACAAATTCCAACAAATGTCCAACAATGTTCAACATGTCCTTTTGAACATTGTTGGAAGGTTTTTGAACGGTTTCAATAAAAATGTATTGCTATAGGTATGAAGTTGGCAGTACAAAATATGTATATGGTGGTTCACTTAAAAAGTGGGGTCCAACAAGTGTCCAGTAAGTCCATTTGAACATTGTTGTGAGGTTTCTGAAAAATTCTGCTATTATTGTAACTTTTTTTTATTAAATATAGATTTTATATTCCACTTGTGGTTTTTATTTAAGTTTGATTTTTTATAATTTGAATTACAATAAATTACTGGAGATTTGGCATGGATGTGACGATCGTGCGAATTTCGGCGATAGTTGTACAAATTCGTGCTAAATGAAGGTTATATAAAAATATAAAAAATTGCTTTTTTTAGTCGAGTGGTGTTGGCGAAATGTTTCACCAGCACCGCCCGTTGATTTTTACTATTCCGGAGACACCAATGTCGTGCATGCTAATTGCGTGCTAATTATTGATGAAATAAAAAGTCAACATTTTTTAATAGGCCAATTATTCCAGGCGTGGAATACCAGGTACATACCTGGTGCAACGTACGTCTATATTACTATGAATACCAACATAATATCAAACCATTCAAATCCTTCACACGCTTTCTCGGAACAATTTAATTCATAAAGTCACGATTCTAACTTAAGTMAATTTTCTGACAAATTTACCGGTGTCCATATATTATTATAATAGAAGCAATTTTGGATAAAAACAATATTGAAAAGCTACACCCTATGAAAGTTGCAAATTTTTTTTAAATAAATTCAATGGTATTTTGCGTATTGATCCAATTGGTGTAAGGATAAAAGTTGCGTTCGACTCTACTATCTCCGTCAATATCTGCTCATCATCGGTAGAGTTACTATCTATGGGTTTGCAAGCATACATACCGTCTACACTTAGTTATTCATTCGGGGTAATAAATTTCGATATTTAATTTCCTAAAGATTTCTGGGAAGGTTTAGACTTAACGGTGCAAGTGGTCAGCCTCCCTTGCATCTCAACCAGCACAAATGGTAAAATCCTGCCTCACCAACTAAATGGTAAAGTTGAAGTTTCTCTCCCCAAAGCCCCCAGAAAAAGTCTCAATTTATAAGGTACTATTTAATGTTTCACCCAGCATCCGATCTCCGGTAATATTTCAAAATTGTATCCGTTATGATTACACTGCTGAATTTTGTCGTGGCAAAGCAAACTGCTTATATTGTGGCTTACCCGATCGCTCTTTTTCCAACTGCCCCACTAAAGAGACAACCCAAGAGACCCGTCTTTTTTCCTCTGTAAAAGCCCTGACATATATATATATATAGCTACTGGTCGGTAATGTACGGAATGGTCTCATCAAAAAATCATAAAGATGATTATGGCCACTGAAAAATGTGTCCTATAAGGATACGGTGTTCATTATTAAAAATAATATTGTTAATAAATCTTCTAATTTGTCTTATGTTGTTGCTAGACTTAAATATAATGATGTAAAACAATCGAGCAATAACGACATTGTTAGTTTAGATGAGACTTTCCCAATATTGCAGAATCTCATGTAAGGTTAAAAACAAAAAATCATAATCATAATTTTTCTCTTAAGAAAAATAACTGTATTCCTTCATCTAAACAATTTTCTCGCCTAGCTCCTGTCTCTAAGGATTTCCCCGCCCCAAATAGTACCTATATAAAATATATAAGTCCTAGTATACTTATGCTTTACCTAAGTACTTTTTGATATCATCTCTTGCCTCTTGTATCATCTCAATTAGCTTACTCATATATTAATTAATAACACAGCATATTTTTCTTCAACTTCTTCTCTTAGTAATATAATTGAGTCTCATGTTATTAATTAATTATCTTCCATACAGAATGGATCGCAGAAAAATCAATGATCATTTGAACAAGTTTTTGATTTTACTATGGAACTGTCGTAGTTTTAAAGCACGTCATAATAATTTTTCTTTTATGTTGRCAGAAAAGTCAATGCGCTCTTCTATTTAAAATATGGCTTTTCCCGAACTCTCTCATATTTATTCCTAATAACTACGTTACCCGCCAAGATGGATTAGATGGATATGGTGAGGTTACCATCACCACACATCAATCCATTAATTTCAAACTCCTAACGATAATATTAAGTAGGTACATGTTTGAATATCACTCTATCGATTCAATAGGTTAGGGATCACGATCAACGACAAAAGTCTTGATTTATGGTCAATATATATCCCTCCATCGTCCAACCTTTCTTCTGAAACTTATCATTAATATATTCTCTCATTAGTCGTTCGTCCATTATGGGTGGAAATTTTAATGGCCATCATCCAGTTTGGAGGTCTTCCATTTCTGATTTTCGAGACAATCTGATCTACTCCGCGATCTCCGATATCACATCTGCGTACTTAATAATGATAATGCTACTAGAATCAATCATCCTCCGTATCCCAATACTATAGTCGACATCTCGGTGTCTTCGTCTAATATATCCCTGTCTTCCTCTTTGTCCGTGTAGTTAGACCCCTTTGAAAGCGAGACCATTTTCCTATTCTTATTAGCATACCTAATAAATCTTCGTATATTCATTCTTCAC